CTGGAGAAAGCTTGCTCAGGCTGGCAAGATGGGGAATTTTCCATTTTTTTCCTGGCTTTGTGCATGCTGTAATCCGAAGTGTCTGGCTACCTTTGGGAAACTTGAATGGATTATTTTCAAGAAGTACTTTTCCACAGTCTGGCTGTCAGCTGCCTCCTATGATAGGATTTAGTCAGGAGAGTCACTTGCAGTCTTTTAGAAACTAACCTTCAGAGCATGTTTTGGCCTTGTTCATAAATTGCACTGTTAACTTCCATATTTCTCCATTGCCCACACCCAAAGGTGCTGTATGTATTAGTTCTCTCACTGTGAAAATCTAATGGGGACAAATCAAGCATTTCTCAGAAGCTGTGTAGGGAAAATAACCTCAGTATCTGCAGGCACACAAACACATGCTTACTGTAGCCAGTCTTTTTCTCTTACTTAGTTCTTGTAGTTAAAGCTAGCTAGGATGATGACTATGGGAAGAATTATTTTATGAAAATTGTACTGGAATTTTGTTGGCTCTAGTATTGAGACTTAGGAAAAGTCTCAATCAAATCAGAAATTGTGCAAGTGAGTTCTTGTTCATGCAGAGGTAGCAAGATTAATCTAGCTGTCATCTTCTGGGAAGCATTAGGAAAATCAGCCAGAGAAGCCTGTGCTGTTGTAGCTCCAGTGCCAATGCAATCTTTCTTGAATGCCCTTTGTAGTATTGGCAAAATCTAATCTTGGTGAAAAAATTGAAATTAAACCAGGGAAAATTTCCATCAGCACCCACCTGAGATATGTTTTTCTTTTTAAAATGGACCTTTCTCCAGTGAAAGGTTCAATTTCAGCCTGGAAGGAAATATTTCATTTTGCACTATTTACAAGAAAAGCTGAAGGAATGAAGATGTGGATACCCAGAAGTGATCCTCTGATGTCATTTTAACTCAGTCTACTGGTTAGCTCCACTAAGGATAGCACAGTGTTCCCTCTCCCTGCACTCAGTGGGTATTTTGAGGAGGAGGATAGGATCATGCAGGGTGATGGAATAGCACTGACTGGAAAGATGTTCTCCATCATTCCAGTCAGTGCTATTCCATCACCATGCAGCATTAGCAGAGGTTTTTATTCCCTGTATGTGAGCTTGTAAGCTGTAGGGAGGAGACTGAATTCTTTCACCAGTTATCTGAGCATTGATTTACCAGCATTCAAATTAAGTGTATGGAAAGCCTCCTTAAATTAATGAGACTTTTTTAATAGAATGTAGGTATACTGTTAATCATCTATTTAAGCAACCTCTAGGAGTAGAGACCCAAAGAACACATTAAGGTTTGCCTAAAGGTAAAGTATGATTCACATTGTGGAGGATTTGACTTGAAGAGAGACCAAAAAACGCTTTAAAGTATTTCATTGGGAAATAATGTTTTGATTATCACCTGTGGTCTTTACCTGATTATGGATTATTTGCTAAGATCCTTCCCTGCTTATTTGATCTGCCTGAGGGGGTTTTTATAAAAATGTCTGGACCACATTATTTTTATGTTTCAGAAAGGCTTTTCACATACATTTGAAATGCAGGATCATTACTGTGTACAACATGTTTTTCAGACAGTAACAATTAATTTCTACAGCCAGATGTGAAACTTGGGGGGAAAAAAGAAGTCATAATGGATGTATGTGCAGGAATCCCCTTTCTCCCTTAGCTGTAATTGAACAAATGGCACTGAGATAATTCTGTAATTGTTTGCCTGTTCCATTAAGCCAATATGAAGATTAAAGTGCCATCTGGCTTTCTGAAAACTAAAGTTAGAAAACCTCCAGCTTGAAAGAAAAAGCAGCTGGATCCCTGTTGAGTGGACATTTTATATGTAATCTAACTTTGCTCCTCTCCACTCAAAGTTCTGACCACAAATAAGTACTCAGAGCTTTTCCCTCTCTGTAAAAGTCGGCACCCTAATAGAAATTTTTCAAAGTACCTTTTCCTGGAGGACTCTGATAACCTTGGGTCTGTTATTGTATTTATGCTCCAACTGACTTTAAAGACTGAACCTGAAAAGGAAATCTGGTTGGACAATTTCATTATAAGGGTTCTTTTTTCTCCTTTTCTGTGTGAAATAGTAACTTTTTCAAAAACATTGTTTTCAAAGTTCCCAGCGTTGCTAAAACTATACTTTTTGCACATGTATAGCAATTTCCTGTGGCATTTTTACAATTCATTTTATTTTGTATTTCTTCTAAGATCTTAAATAGCTTTTGCAACCATTACAGAAAAAAATCAATTTTAAGTCATGCTTCACCTCTGGAATCCATTTTTATTGAATATTTATAAATAATTTCAATAAAAAATAAGCTTTTTATATTGTCAAGAAATTTCACAGAAAAAATAAAATTAAATTTTCAGACTCTATGAAACAAAACTGGTTTCAGGAATATTTTTTTGTGAATTAAATTAGTTTTTTCTTGGATTTTTTTTCTTGTTACCAGGTCATCTAAAAATTTATGTTGATAAAAAACAGAGAGTAATTTCTAGGGAAGATTTCATCTGAAAGAATACTCCAGGACTGTTAGTGTTGAAAATACTGTATCTATTTTTTTTCCAGGCACTATTACCACTATCAGAATCAGAAACCCACTTTCATTTGATTGGTCTTGTATGAAATGTAGCCTATAAACAAACTAATGCAGGAACTTCCCTTTTTCCCCACTAAATGTAAAAGCTGCTAGAAAAAGTATCTCCAAGTCTTAGAGTAAAATATTTTCACATTTCGATTCCTGCATTATTAAAAAAAAAAAAAAAAAAAAAAAAAAAAAAAGTTAAAATGGAGGGTGATAGAATGGTCCAAACCTCAAGCTTTTTAGAGTCTTTCCCACACCCTCAAAAGGGATTGTTCACTGACACGATCCGTCCTAAGGACAAGATTCGTGAAGGTTCTTTTCACTGATCTCAGGGTGCAAAAACAGACACGACAAGGGGGTTTTGCAGTAAAAATCAAAACAAATGTACTTTTATTGAATAATCACAACAAAATGTGTTAGGGAGAAGGGGAATGAAGAGAAGGGAAAGAATAAGGAAAAAAGAGGGGAGGAAAAGAAAGGAGGTATATAGCTACCAGACATGGGATCCTTTGAAGTCCAGTCGACAGAGCCTGCCGTCTTCATGTTAGGGGAGATCTCAAGGGTGCCAGTCAGCTCTAACCTCTTTTATTGTCTTTTTTGACTGGGGGAAGGGGACACATTTCAAAGTAGTCTATTGAAAAGGCTACAAAAAGTCATCAGCAGTAGGCAAGAACCATTGTCTTCTCAGTCCAGTGGTCGCTTGCAAACTTGCTTTGGTTACCTGGCCTTCCCCACACACGCCTTCCCCCACCCTACGGTAGGGATTTCAGTCTCAGTCTTTTAGAGAAAAGAGGGGGCTTTTCTATGTAGGGGTCGCATGTCTCAGTTCTTGATGGGAGAACCTTCTCCCATCTCAGTCCATCTGTCACGGTGGTATGATGAAGGGGAATCAAGGGTCCTTTAGTGGTGACCACCGAGAAGGTCATTCCAGAGAGAAAGTCCAGCCAAGTCAGGAGGTTGGAGAAATTCCAGGAGCAGCAGGCAAAGGAGGGCACACTGCCCCTTCTCAGGTGCAGTGTTTCATGGGTTGAGCAAACACACCTGTAGACAATAGTTTGGCTTGGTGGACCAGTCGGACCCGGATTTCTTTTCCTTTCCCCTGTGGTCTCGACTTTTGTGATGAACAAGAGGCAAAGAATGAGGGAAATTTCGGACAGACACTCACATCCACCTACCGGCTTTGACTGGATTATTCAGTCTGATTAGAAAGCATAACTGGTGGACAGGGAAGTCTGTTTCAGTAAAGTGGTTCTTTGGAAATATTTAAAACTCAAAATCCAGTGGACATCCAATGATTTCTGTTCCCTTCTGAGTGAACTCAGAACTTTGGACCAAGCTAACTTCAATTGGCTTGAGGAGTCTTTGAGGAGCAAACTTTGCTCTTCCTCTTGTGCTGTCTGACCACCAATGCTGGGTCAAAAGCACTGAGCCTCATTGAGACAAAGAAGGTAGATAAAACCCTCTGTTGCTACCCTCAGAACCATCTGATAGTGCTATAACAGTGTGCTCCTCATGTGGCAGGGCAGATAACACATTTCTGCTTTTAAAAAACCCTAAAATATATATTTTTAGCAGGACATTTTCAGTAAAGGCCTCCTGATTCAGTCAATGTATGTGATGTTCATCTAGAGAGAACATAAGGCTGAGTTTGGGACTTTGTTCTTTAAAGCTGTGAGCCCCTTTGTTGTCCTTGGAGCAGTTTTAAAATTACAATTTAGCAAAGCATGTAGCTACTGCTATGTGCTTCTGTCTTGGCTAGCTGAGTTGTATTTAGAAAAATCTGTAAAATTAAATTCTCAATGCTAAACTCATTGAGATATTCATCTTTATGTATGAATTTAGGCAAGACTACCAGTGAGATTTGGTTTGAATAGTCACTGTTGAGCAACACTGGGAAACAGCCAAGATATGGGCACCAAACACTGATATGTATAATTTCAAAGCCATTTCAAAAAATTATGTCTGTAACTATTGTCTCACCTTCACTGACTGTAAAAATGAGAAATGTAATTTTTGCCCAAGGCAAACAGGGTTTTGAATATTAATTTGTATTTGTAAAGTACATCAACAAGGTAAGTCAGGACACCATTTGACCATGAATATGCAAATACACATAATCCTGTATTTTCACACCTAGCGAAATGATGCAGACAAGAAATCCTTTCCTTCTGAAATACATGCTTCATTAGGCAAACTCCATAACACAGAACTATCAGCAGCAAGCTGTGTTGAGATTCCACTTGCCATTTTATTTTGATCAGAACACGAATAGGATTTTATTGTTTTGTGATTTTGTTTTAGATAAAACACTTTACCCAGTGTGCATCATAATTTCTCCTGCAGAGTTTTTCAATCAAATCTCTTTTCTGTCTGAAGAAAAATGTGCTGGTTTGTTCTTTTCCCCTTTGTCTCCCCAGTGCATAGTTTGGGACTGGGATTCCAATGGAAAGCATGACTTCATTGGAGAATTTAGCTCGACTTTCAAGGAAATGCGAGGAGCTATGGAGGGAAGACAGGTAAGTGGAAACCACCTGAGCAATCTCAATATGTAATCTTTGTAGAGCGGTGTTCCCCAGACAATCCTGTCACAAAACAGGTGGCACTGCCTCATCATTTCCCAGAATTTAGTTGTGTTGATCTCTCCCACAGGTTTTACTGTTACCTGGATGCAGTAATCTGAAAATGTAAAAGATCATTTGCTCCTGTACATTCATGCCTGAAATATTTAAGGTTTTTTCCTAGCTCCCATTCCACAGGCATTTCTTTCTGCTAAGATTTATTTCCTTTGAGCCCAAGCACATGGTTTCCATGAGGTGCTGTGCTGCAAAGCAGATGCCCATGCTGGCTACTCAAAGCATTTCCCTGCTGGCCTAAAGGCCTCTATTGGGTGAGGGTCATTCTCCATCTTCCTCCATTTCTCATGTGCTGCATTCATTGCTGCCAGCTTTAACTAGAGCCCAACATGATGAAACTAATCGGTTTTCTAAGTATTTCATGATTTACAGCCCTAACGGGAAATGAAATTTTTAGCTTATCAATAATTTCACTTCTTTATGTCAACCTGATCTTTTCAAATTGCAGTTGATAGTAATTATTTAATATGATAAGTGATTTGGCATATCTAATTCCAGAAATTGTCATTTTCTATTATTACTTACTTCTAAAGGTGTTAGTTTTGATAAATTCTCTGAGTGGGAGTTAAAAACGTTGATCCTGCAGATAATTTGTATTCATTGTTCCACTGTTGTTGCGATCTCAACCCCAAACACAAATGCGTAATAAGCTTTATCTGGGATTTTTATTAAGGTTCTGTTTATAATGTGTTAGTAAAAATCTAACAGAGAGTCAGAAGGTGTTTGATAAGTGGTAAGCAGTCAGTCTATGCCATAGGTCAAGAAACTCGATGTTTTCTGTTGAAGTTCTTAGAATACACTAAAGTTTGGCAAATGCTGCTCATGTGTGTAAAATACTGCTGGTATGCATCAGCCATATATTAGTCCATTATAAATGACTTCTGAACACAACCTGAGTGTAAATGAAACCTTGCTTGCTCTCTCAAATCAAGTCAGAGGATCAAAACTTTTATCAAGCAACATTTGTGTGGAAATAAGGAGGCAAACAAATCCCAGAATGAATAACATTAACAAGGCCAGTGATGTGACAACACTCCAAATTTGTATACAAATAGCTGTGTCTTAAGTACCTGTGTCTCAGATACCTGTCTCAGGTACCTAAATACCTGTGTGAGTGGTAAAGGGTGTGTATTTTGAATGTAAGTGTCTTAAAACCACATCATGGTCCTTCCCAGGAGACAGCTTGTTGGCCAAAACAAGAGCCTTGTAGTCCAGAATGCCAGGAATGGCTCTGCAGGATAAAAGATTTATTGTGATGGAGAAATAGTATGTTTTTTTTCATCTTCAGCTAGCAAAAAGGATGATTACTCTTTCAGAGTCATAAGAAGTTAATGCAGCCATTTGTCAGCTCTTGTTCTAGGTTGTCACTGCACTATCAGAGTGCTGTCCCAAAATGTTTTAATTTTGCCCTGTGGTTTAAGTGCCTGAATCTTACTCTTGCTATGGGCCTGCCATTTGCTATTTCTGCAGGTTGTCTTTCACCTGTAGCCTTTTACTTGCAATCTTCCTCCACACGCCCTAGGAATTGTGCCTTTTTTTCTTCCCTGCTCCTCTCATTCTCTTGTGGCTGTGAAGTTATTCTGTGGGCTTGCACCTGCAAAACCCTGCTGTTGGTATAACTAATTCTCATGGGACACAGTTACCACCAAGGTGGGAATCAGTTTCCTTTCTCCTCTTTTCTAATCCTTGTTTTGTAACCTATTCTAGAGGAAAACAAGATTGAGTGGATAAGATAGTAAGCATTAGTCATTTAAGTGGCTGATAAATAGTGGTCCAAAAATATAAATGCACATTCTAGATGGTTCTTGCCCCTGATGAAATCAGGGTTTGGTGAGCACTAATAGCATGATAGGCAAGAACAAGCAGTAGGAGCTTGAGCAGGTCCTGGTGGAGATGATGTACTTATGGAAAACAATACTGTGATCCCATTATGTACAGGAGAGGTCACTTGTGTGGGAAGCCATGTCACTTGGCTGGAGCCAGAATTAAATTTCCCTTTCACTCTCTCACTGTCTCTCCCTCATCCTATCTCATTTTTCTCTATTCTGCAGAAAGAACTATTGCTGCTAAAGGCAATATATGCCATTGTCTGTGGACCCCATAAAAACATCTTAGTGCATAGTTTATGCCAACATCCTTTGTGCAACATTAAGTAGAGTGATTAGCAGTTGTCCAGTTTTTCTTTAGTTTTAGCCTCCCTAAAGAAAAAGCATGCACAGTGGAGTGTTTGCTTCGAATAAAGAGGTTACAGTGAACCTTGAGGAAATTATATAGAAAGAAGGTGTTTCGCCTTCAAGTAGATGTGTTGCCAGCTATATCTGATAAGGAAGGCCATATCAGAGAAATGTAATTATATGTCGGTGGGGAGATGAGTAGGTTAAACATAGTTCTTCATTCCTAGAAGAGACCCTTTCGTAGCCTCAGACCAGAAAATATTGTTTTCCATGTAGTACTCCTTTCAGTCAGAGGACTAAAACTACATCCTACAGCCCCTGGTGTTAACATTCTTTCACATTGCATCACAACATGAGTATCAAGTGTTGAAGATGAGGGCCAAAGCCTGGAACTTCATCTCATATGCTGTGGAATCCAGAGTAAAGAGTAGAGTTCAGGTCTGGCGTCCCTATTTGAGTTGCTAAGGAGATGCAGTGAAGCTTCTTGTTCTGGTTATATTTTCTTTGGTGCAATAGACTTTACAGCCAGCTACAGTACATTGCTATAGTTCTGTCAAAAGATAATCAAAACGCCCTAGTGATTGTCAGCCAGGGTTTTTCGCTTTCTTAGAAAACTGGAGAGAATTGGAAGGAACATTCATCACTGATAGGGGATTCAAGAACTTCGATTAAGCTTAAACTGCAAATCTGTGTGGTTTTGAAGGACTGCTACAGCAGTGGCACAGATCTCCATCTCTGCCCATCAGCAATGCCTGTATTGCTGGAATCAGCAGCACAAGTTGTCATGGATGCATTAAGCAGTGAGAGTGGGAGTACCACAGTTTGTGCTGGTGAGCAGCATGGACTGTGTGGTATCTGTGAGACGCTAGTGCTTCTCACAATTTCACCAGCTCACCTCATCTCTGGAGGAGCTGACAATGATGTTGAAGTTGCGTTTTAAGTACATAGTTCATCCTTCAGAAAGCACAGAGCATTCTGACCCATTCTTTAACCTCCCCCTCTAAAAGTAAAGATATTTTTGTCTTGTAGCCAATCTATCAACTGCTACGTAACCGCTTGAGATGGACAGAATGAATCCATCTCCTGTAAGTAAGCAGGATCACCTGCTTACTTACAGGAGCCAGTGGTGCTTCTAAGACTGTTCCATCCCTGGGCTGTGTACTGATTATCCCAAGTTTTGAGTGTCAGACACAGATGAGCTAACTGGCTTGCCTTGGCTGTGAGATTTCTAAGAAATGTGTGTCTGAGACCAGGCATCCTTTAGATAGCACTGGTATCTTCTGAGTGGTTGAACCAGTATTGTGTGAAAAGAAGAGAAAATTCCTTACCTGAATGAGATCACTTGTTTTGATCAAAAGTTGCATAAGTTGTTTATGAATTTCTTTTCTGAACCTGGTATGTCTTGGGTGAGATTTGAAAATATTGAATTACGACTCCTTCAGAGTGTTAAGTGCTTCTCCATGACTGAGAGGACTGAATTCTGAGAAAACTTGCTGGTTTTTTTTTTTAAGGAGACTTTCTGATCATGAACAACCTCAGGATAATAACTTTATGTGTTTCTCTTCCATAACAATTACCTTATGGTGATAGACTGTTATGTTCTGACACCTAGCCTGTTTTCATACTGACCACCAATAGAAAATGGCACAAAGACATCCTTTTGTTCCACTTGCTTAAGTGCATATCTTAAGCAGCCCTTGCATGAACCATGGTTTAATGGTGAAATTGGTGGTGCTGGCTTAACAGTTGGACTCAGTGATCTTAGAGGTCTTTTCCAACGTGTAAATCGGTGGTTTCTAGATCTTGTATTAACACTTTCCACCATTCCAAACTTTATTATTTACTCTTTCACCAGAATCTTGACATTAAAAAAAAACAAAAAAAAACACAGTAAGAATAACTCTATCCTTATCTTTTTAAGTTAAATACTAATAAATACTCTGAGTTTATTGTGTCTTAAGATTCTTCCAAGAATACATATAATATATGTTTTTAATATGTGTGTACAGTGGCAGTTTCTAAGGTGTGCTAATATTTATCCATCAAGCATATTTAAACAGGACAAGAAGAAGGTTGAGATTACATAAATGTAAATGCTATTAAAGCTTATCATAGTTGAAAGGAAGAATCCTCTACTAATGAGAAAAAAAATAACTTTTTTGGGTTTTTTTTTAATCAAGGCAATAAAGCCAGAGGGATTTGAGAGGAGAAAAGTCAGAGAAATCACCTGGATCCCCATGCAGCACAGGAGTTATGTAAAGGAAAAATCTGTTCCTGTATTACATAAAAATGGACACGTGTGCATTTGCACACACACAAAAGGAAAGAGGAGGAAGAAACCCTGCTGTACTTCTCTTCTCCCCTGACATTCCCACAAGTTCAGGGTGTTATTAGGGAGGGCTTTTCCATCTGGTAGCTCTTCAGATGACTCTGCACGGTGAGACCTTTAAGCTCTTGCTAATGGGCCAAGGTGTTATTGACACCTATGGACAATTCCAGTTTTATCAGGAGACAGCCCAGTTCACCCAGGACTGTCTGCAACACCAGCAGCTGCTCCTGGCCCCAGACAGGGCAGTAGAGGGCAGCCAGAGCAGGCACCTGCCCAATCCCTGTGCAGAGGCAACCATTGGTAGAGCCTCGGAAGCACAGGGGATGCTGGGGGCTTGGCTGGGGAAACAAGAAATGCTTTAATTTCCACTTCGTTCCCCGGGGGCAAGTTTCCAGAGAAAATCTCTGAGAATGATTAAAGGCAGCTCTTCTCTCTTGGTGGATGTATTTCTGGGACAGGAAGAGAAAAAAAACCACAAAACTATCCTGTGCTCTTGCCTAGAGGGATGGCAGGAATAAAGCAGCCTTCCATGTGGGAGGAGACTCAGTTCACACAAAAGTGGTTTGTTTTTCTTGAGGCATCAGAAAGAGACAGTGCAGGATATAATGCTGCCTGCTATCGACTGGGGGTTTTGAACCATCCATTAGACTGCAGTGCCTCCTTTGTCATTCACAAATTGTGCAATTCATTGCAGCAGCTGAACAGGAAGGAAGAGGAGCTAAACCAAGTGCAGGGGAGGCAAGAGAGCATTCTGCTGCTGACACAAGCTATGCCACAAGCGTACAACAAGTGATGAAAGATCACTAGCCCTTTCCTCATCAGGCTGTCATGGATTGACTCTGGCACAGTGCCAGTGCTCCCATGAAAGGTGTATCCCCCAAAATGGTCACTGTGAGATGTGACCCGGGAACAGAACAAAGCAGGCTCTAACTTGGGAATGGAGGAAAAAACAACACTTTATTAATCTACATAGACACAAAAAGGAAGGGGAAAACTACACACACAACAATCTACAATAGAACAATTTCAAAACACTCCTCCTCCTCCCCCCAGTCCTCTAACATTCAAAATCCCCTCTAACACATTAATTCTCAAAACCCTTACTTCCTGGTCAAACTACGACACAGGCCTACCCAATGTCCTGGTGTGCTAGCACTGTCCCAGAAAAAGCATCTGCTGTCATTTTTCTGGCCTTGGGGAACATGAAACACTCCTGACACCTTCAGTCCTTTCTCTGAATAGCTTCTGCCACATATTGTCCAAATTTTGCTTCTACAATGGTTGTCTTCATTCAGTCAGCTCCACATCCCTTTGCTGGTGTGTGGCATAAGTGGTTGCATTGTTTGCTTTTCTCTCTCTTCTGAAGGTTTTTTAAGAGAAGGAGTAAGGGTGTTTGGAAAGACAGTATCCTTCAGTGCAGAGTGACATCTCCCACTTAGGGGTCTGTGTCTCCTCATCACAGGCACAAGAGGATTGGGACCTTCCAAGTGTCAGCATTAGTTCAGTGACTGTCATTGAAGAGTAGCTGAATGGAGTTTGTTCAAAAATTCTCCACACAGTGGTTTAAATTTAAGTGTATAAAAGAAACACCAGCACAGTATAGTCTTGGGAGTCCATTACCAACATTTGCAACATTACTTAAATTAACAGTAGGTAGTTTAAAACCAGCTTGCTTTCTCTTTCAAATTTTCTGTGTTGTTCTATAGGGAAAGAGCTTGCACAGCCCAGAGCTGTCAGGCATTTGGAGGAAATGCTAAGTGACTTTCAGGATGACGAATCCAAACTTCACAATGTTTACCATTACTGTCAGATTGCAGACTATTGCATTAGTTTCCTCTCAACTGAAAAGTTAATTTAAGAGCAAAAATGGATCAATAAAAAACAATGTCAGATACCAAATCAATACTGGGAATGTAGGAACAGACTGGAAATTGAGGTTGGCCTCAACAGTGCAAGCAAAATATTTGAGAATTGTTTCTTGTTATTACTTACCTGCTTAGAGCTGTATTTTGAACTCTGTTCTCATTATAAAAGCTGGATAAACAGTAAGACCTGCATGGGGAATTTCCTTCAAATGATGCTTGTTACATCTTTAGCTTCAACTGTGGGAATTGCCAAGGATCCAGACCTGGATCTTGGTGGGTAAGTGAAGACTGAGCTTTGTGTAAAACAATCTTGCTGGCTTTTTTAAGCCTATGAACTGGGAAATGTCTTCTCTCACCTCTCTTATTCCCTTCCCTTCATTATACTATCATCAATAGATTTAATAAGTGCACAATTGTTCTTTCCTTTTGTTTTCCTACTTTGTGTAAATTTTCTAGTCTGTTCTATCCTTTGCTGTATTATCCACATAAACCAATAATGTTAGTGACTTGCACATAGAATATTTTAATGAGCTTTAGGTAGTTACTGAGAATTGTTATCCATACATCTTAAAATGCTTTGCAAAGTAGATGAACATTCACAGTTGCATTTTACAGTTAGCAAAGGGAGCCTGAGATTTTTTTTCTCTTTTGAAGTTCTGTTCTATGCCACTTTGGTCCTTATTTATTATAAACTTCTTCCATAAAAATACCATGGAAATTTCTTTTTCCAGGCTTAAATAATCTTTTTCCTAAGAAGAGAAATTGTATGCATAGTATATGGCTTCATATAGGTCAGGGCTTATTTAAATATGCACATTGAAAAAATATTCATGTTGGAGGATGCTAGAATTGAAGTTCACCTTGGATGTTCAGGGGAAAGCTACTACACCTCTCCAGTGTACTTCAGTGTCAAAGGGAGGAATGCAAATCCTGTCACCTATTTTTTTCTTTCTACTTGATATACTACAGTTTATCTATGAAATACAGACAGTATGATTTCTCTGTAGAAATGCTTCGAGTAAGTGTGCAGACTACTGTGTGTTAAACCATTTTGCCTGACAGCAACCTATCAAGATTAGGCAGTGCTTTTGCCTTGCTTTTGGACCCAAATATGAGCTTATTGCACTCCAGTGTTGTGTTACAGACCACTCTCTTTGCTGGGAGAGAAGGGATTTTATTTCTTGAGCCTGACTGCTTCTCTTGAGTAGAGAAAAAACATTTACGGAGGATTTCCCCTGAACATGAGGGCCAGTACCTGCCCGTCTTCTCAGTTGGAAAATTTGTTTCACAAGACAAATAACTGAGCTGTAGGCTAGCTGGGAGAGCAAGCAGATGTGCTTCCTGCAGTTGGAACTGTTTTTTTGTCTTTTCCTGTTCTTCACTCTGTCACCTGTCTCCATTTCACAGTGATGAAGATACCCCTCCTCCCCTGTGCAGAAATGGCTCCAAAGCCATATGTTTTTCCTTCCCTTTTTTTGATGTTTTACAAAATCTCTATGTCTGGAATACTTCAGAGACATTCAAATAGTTGCTGTTAGACAGTGGTTTGAAGTTGATGAAATTTCTGGGGCTGAGCACAAAGTAAAAATAGTTATTGGTGCTCCAACACTTTGCTAGAATATGTCACATATGTACCTCACTGTAGACAAAGTATTGTAACACTTGGGCAGATTTTCATTGTAGGCAAAACACTGTAACACTTAAGACATGTTTCATTTCAAACTGTCATAATAGAGATTTTTAGATAATAGATCGTTCTGGTTCTTTTTGGAATTGTATTTCTTTCTGTTACCCAGCATCACCTGTCTTGTCTCCACACTTGAAAACAGCTCCCTGCAGGGAAATAGTCATGTTATTATCCACATTAACAGCACATTAGAGATAAAAATCTGTATCTACAAATGCCAATAGGCACTTGCATGTACAAATGTACATCTTACTCCTGCAGTAAAAGGCATGAATAACACTGTAAATGTTAGAGGTGAGGGTCTGAAAGCTTGGCCTTATCACTCTGCCTGAAATCAGAGGAAGGCATTTCAAGTGGAAATGGTTAAGAACCTGGGAGATGTTATAAGAACAAGGAGATGTATTTCAGTAGCAAGGTAGGACTGTTGTGCTGTAAAATCGACTGTAAATAAAACTATGAAAAAAATAAAAAAGGTATTTTACTGTATTCTTAGGGATAAATTTCAAATGTATCATTAGTTAGCTGCATCTTTGTGAATATTTTACTGATTTACTTTTTATTTTGCTATCAGACTTAAAGGAGAAAGTGAGATGATTGCTGACCAGAATTTTTATAATCATGAGTTTAATACAAAACGCAGTGTAATTGTGACAACAGTTTTGTAGTTAATACAATGCATCAGGTTACTCTCTCCAGTATTCTCATTTGTATTAAGTTCCTTCTTTTTTTTGTCCTCTCAAAAGATCCTCAATCTTGCTTATGTAACACCTCAAACTACGAGACTGGAAGATGACAACAGATTAATCTGGATGTCTCCCTCAGTGCCATGTCCACATGTATATGTTCAAAGACTGATGTTTGCCCTGAGCCTTTTTCTATTAACTATTCTCTGCATAGTTAACAGTTTTCATTTTTTTTCCTCTCTGTGCACCATTATCTGTAATGATTTAGTCAACTATGGAAACTGGGCAGTGCAGTTTTTGTTAATTATTCAATCTGTACCTAAAATTTTCCTGCAGAGAATGACTGCTATTTTTTTCACAGGTACAATGGGAATGCATTAACCCCAAGTACAAAGCAAAGAAGAAGAACTACAAGAACTCAGGCATTGTCATCCTTAACCAGTGCAAGGTAAATATATGTTTTGCTCTTTGACTGTTTCTTTATTAAGCTCTCAGGGATATATTTTAATGGTGCTTGGAACAAAGTGGAACTGCCTGTAGAATAGCAAAGGAAACTGTTCCCTACAAAAAGTAAAGGCAAGGACTTGAATCTCAAAATCAAGTTGACTGTCCTCAACTTTCATTTCATTTCTCTTGCCCTATCTCTGCTCTTGTACAATGGAAAAGACAATACTAAACTCTAAGACCTAAATACTCTCCAACTGTGTGTGTATCCCTTGTATATCCTTCCATTGTATCTATAGGATTGCCCTCCTTTTCCTAAACAAACAGCAAAATTTTCTCTGATCTCCCACGGAGATGTTGGTTCTACTTTTTTGTTTTCCTTTATGTAAGTTTAGAATTTTGATTTTTTTTTTTTTGTGTTTATATATAGTTTTGTTTTTGTCTCAAACTGTATTTAATGATTCTTCCTTTACCTTATTTTCAGTTGGTCTCTCTCCCCCTTCCAATTTATTTTTTTTCAGGCAGTTCTCCCATGTTTTATCAGTACACAGCTAAGTTGAATGTCTTGCTTTCTTGTCTGCAGATACACAAGATGCATTCTTTCTTAGATTATATCATGGGAGGCTGCCAAATACAGTTTACAGTAAGTGTCTTACTTCTCTAACTTGTTTTGAAGAAAAGGAATCCCCTTAGATACCAATTCATTACTTTCAGAGAAATGATTCTTACATGCCATTCCTTGGTAAATTATTAAGTTCTTCTTGCAAAATGTATTAAGGGCCAGCCTTCCTTTCCAGAATGAGTCCTCTGTTAAAGCAAGTTGTTTCCCTGAAACGGTGCCATACTGAAAGTCACACACAGAGAGATCCAGCCAAGGACTTCTCTCTGTCAGCCTGGGGTAAATGCTGGTGTTTCATATCTCAGCCATAGCTACCAAGTAAGATGGCACTACAGAGGACACTGTTCTAATGTAGAGTGTACTCACAAGCTATTCAGTTCAAGGAACAGGGTGTAAAAGGATTTGCAGGCCTCTTCATAAATAGAAATACAGTTTTTTGTATCTCCAGTTAATAAATTTAGAAACATTTAATGGTGTGTGGGCTTGATCTTTTTTTGTATCATGTATCTAAAAATTAATACACTTAATATAATGTAATATGATATATCAGTTTTCCCATAGCATAGGAATACGGATTGTGGCTCAGTTCCAATCTGGTTTATGTGATTTCTAATTTATGCCAGCTTAAGGGCTAAAATCAAATGCACAAAGGTAATATTCTGCTTCTAGAGATCTTTTCTTTTCCTGTAGCATCCTGCCCTATTTCTGCTCCCACATATAAAGTAGCAGACACTGGATGCTACTGGTATGTTCCATTTCACATTTTCTAGACAAGGCTTCATTTTCCAAAAAGATTTGATAAAAAAAGAAAGGTGTTTTTAATTGTACCAGAAAGTTCTAGCAGCAGCTACAGTAATGGATCATCTTCTTGTGTATAGATCGGCTTTTTGAAGTGTTAAACATGGACTTTGCCCATACTCGTCACAGACTCATTGGATAACACCCAGAACTGAGGACTCTGTTTTGGTTTTGGAGAAAATATTTTCTGCAGGACAAAGATCTTTATAATTGTCTTCTCTCATGTAAAGCATACTGTGTAATTACTTCTCTGCCTTACGGGGCTACTTTTTCTTTTACCCCCGCGTACCAGCAATGCACATTTCTCCTTCAAGTCTGAAACTTCCCAGTCTCTGGAAACCCCTTTAATTTATCTTTTCTGACATTCCCCCCCCCCCCCCCCCCCCCCCGAAAATATGACTGGAAGAACTCAATTATCAAATGTATTCAAGGCCACTATCTGAAAGACATTAATGCCTTCATGTTATATTTGAAAGCCTTTTCTAACAAGGTTATGTGGTTAGGCACATGCAAAGACCAGTTAATATGCATTTCCCACAACTCCAGCTCAAGAACAGGAGCACTGCCACCATTAGAAAGTATCTAGGGATTTACATAATAAGTTACAGGTTTTCAAACACTGATTCTTCATAACTGTTTTCCAATGGAAGAGCAAGTTCTTAGTGCAAGGAAGGGTTATGGCAATTTTCTTGCCTTTTATTTACTTGTCACAGGTTTCCTATTAGTAGGCTGCAAAACACAAGTCTGAAAGTGATAAGGTAAATGGTTTAAAGTGGATAGTGGCTTCTACTGTGTTTTACTAAAATGAAACAAACAATTGGTAATAGAAAGCTCAAGTAAGCTCATCTTCAAGGACGGCCAGTGAGGACATAAAGGAAATGGAAGATTTGTTATACTGTCAACCACAGAGATCCCTGGATTACTGTTGCCCTTAATGGGAAATCCACAGGATTGTGTAAACTCATCACTATCAATTTTCAACCTGCAGGGACCCAGGGTAAGCCACTGTGACATCTCTGTAACTTTAGCTGTCTGCATGCATAGCCCAGTGGTTCTAACTCAACATCGTCAAAAACTTGCTCTCCACATGTTTTCCTCCACTCTTCTTCCTGCAGTCCTCAGCACAGACTGGTTGTGAGATGTGTTGTTGTTTTCCAAAATGAATTCTCCAGTGGTCACTGAAAGAAAAGGGTGCAGCCTTCTGGGGACATATTCCATTCTCCCTTGCTTTCTGCATGCATCATATAATCTCCTCTTCACATAGTCCTAATCTGATTAATTCAGACCACTGAAACAGAGGAGGCCTATTCCTTGGACTTTCCCAGATTTCCATTTTTTCCAACTGTAGTAGATTTGGGATTGTTTGAAACTCTCCTGATATGTCACTGTCCTGATATTAATGACGTTTCTGTTGATCTCATGCTGTGTACAGGCAGTATGATACAGCTGTGATTTGAAAGGGCACTTGCTGAGGGAGGGAAACTGGGATGCCAGGCCCACATTAGATAACAAAAAGCTGTAGTGTGATGCACCTGCTAATTTAAGGCACTAATGGAAACCTTGGTAACATCATGCTGTTCGTTCTTGGGATACTTTGTATCTTGATTGTAGAAACATGGTTTGTAGTCAGATAGAACATCTCTGAAAAATGAAAGTAAACTTTCCCTTCACTTTACAACCAGTTATTAAGAAGCTTTCATCTATAGAGATCAAGAGTGCTGATTCCAGCCCTCTATTTTTATGCCCAGCTTATTGCCAAACACTGTATCTCTTATCAGACAGTGTACCCTGCTGCAGAAGAAATCTTCAGAGGTTGGCAGTGCAAATGGGTCTGTAGTCAGAAGACATTTTCATCACTTCAGGAAATACAGCAGAAAGCATGTGTAACATGCATAAAAGGAACTGTGATAGAAAGATATATTGGACAGATAGTCTCTCAGGCAGGTCACAGTGTTGGGCAGCCTGATTTGTTGCTGACAGATCTAGCAGGAGGTCCCAGCTATGTAGGATGTTTTGAGTGTAGTGAAAATCACCTTTTACAAGTCTGAGGATAAAAAAAGAAGCTGGTACTGAGTGTAGTTATTGCCCTGTTATGCCCTTATTTAGCTGAGGGAAGATGACTGCTACACTGGAACTGATACATTTAAAGATACACTGATAAAATCAAATACATGTACCTTAAGAAAGATTCCTACTTAACTGCCCAAAAGATAAGCTCAATTGTGATATTACCATAACTTCTGTCATATATTAACTTATTTTTACAAATCCTTATCCAATGTATTTGCACAAGACCTTGGTCCTGCTGGATAATGCTAAAGGAGCTCTGCATTGTTATTTTGCAATTGTGGCAATTTACAGCGGTTGTCTTTCTTATAAGTCCTCCCTGTGGGAGTCAAACAGAGATTTGGATCAAATTCAAGAAGTATGCTGCATCCAAGTACAAAAATTCATAAATTCTTCATCATAGGAAATTAGGATATTTTTTTACTTATGAGCAGACCTCTACTGCAAGGACCATTTCCAAAAGGAAGCTTGTTCTAGGAAGTTGGTTTTTTTGCTTTCCCAAACACTAGCCACAGGCTTTTTTCCAAGTTTATGAAACCCACTCCTTATTCCTACTCCACATTCTTGATTTCATTTCCAAAGCAGTTAGCCATAAAGGGAGACTTGTCCAGATCTGTTTGAGGTGTCACTAAAGTCTTGTTAATGTGTTTTAGTGTTTTAGGATTGTCAGGAAAAACACCTACTTTAAACAATTTTACAGGAATCCTCTTTGTTTCCCTATCATACAGTGGCATTTTTGTGCCTTCTGTAATCAGATTAAGGTTGAATTATTATCAGAGAAAATATACTTATTTTTAAGAAAATATGCACACCTTGAATAAGATTTTTTACAAAAAATTTTCCCGCAACTAAGGTAGTTCATACAAGCATCCATGGATTTCACTTGGATTTCACAAACCACTAATGTTGTTTTCTTCCTCAGTTAAATATGTGTAGTGTTCTCAGTTGTGTGCCCTCACAAGTGAAGTCATGAGAGGTTCTCCATTGATTTATTCAAGTTAAAACCAGATACCATTTTTAGAAACAGATCTATGTGGAAAACAAACTGAGTGCTTCGGTGCCTGAACAGTGAGTAGGAAGCAGAGGCGAAAGATTACCCTTACTTGCAAGCCAAAAAGCTCTTCTCTCTCCTGACTGGATGTGGTGAGGTGCCAGGGGTTCATGAATGATCAAGCAAAGAAGGGATTTCCAAGCCTACTAGAGGTTAGTTTCTTCAGCTGAAAGATACAGGTGAAAAATCAGAACCAGTGGAGGAAAGCCATGTTTGGTTGACCTAGTATGATATTTCCCTTTAACTTTTTAGCAACAAAAATAAGTTTCAGAAGGGCTGTGTAATTTTTTTAAGGAAGCATGAAAATGTCATGTTCCATTTTCATTTTGAAGCTGCATAAAGTAGTGTTCCTTGTGCCAAGCAGAGGCTGCAGCTGGGGAAGCTGAACATTTGCAAAAGCAAGCTGTGCCTTCAGAGTTATTTTTGCAGCCTTTAGCAAGACCCTTCCTTACCTTTCAGCTACACTGTAAAACTGAAATCTGAACTTGCTGCATTTGTCTATTGAATATTCAGGTGTAATGGGTTTTTTAGAGAAATAGATTATTGGATACATGGACATTTTATAAATGTCTTTGTTCCCCCTGTAAGACCCTTGGGATTCTTGTTGCTCCTCTTAGGAATTCCTATAAAGCAGTATTACAAATTCAGCAGAGGACTTTCTGATCCATAACAAAGGGAGATACATGCCAGAGCCTACCTTCAGTGAGACATGTAAAGAGCATTTTAAAAGGGAGAAATTAATTTTATGACTCATTAATACTTGCTTTTGCATTGACTACTGCCCACAATCTTCTCTAAGGTTTTTCAAAAACAACAACAAAAAATCTGTGCAGGATTCAAGCTTTATTTTTTACCCTGCAACTCATGTTTAAGCCTGCTATCAACTGTGAAACTGAGAGGGTTAATTTTCACTGCTTAGATGTTTTGAAGAGAAAAAATACCAGACAAGAAATATCTACTACTACAGCCACAGTAATGATTAAAATAGCTAAGAAATGTCCCTAATTGGAATTCAAATTTATAGTTTTAGTAGGACTTGTAACTCTCTATGGACATTTTTCCTGCAAAGCTTTTATGTCCTGAATGTCACCTGAGCTGGAATGATTTAATTAAGTATGAGAACCTAGAGATAGTTAATTTGATTCATTTGTATTAGGACATAATTGTCCCCATAGAATAGCAATGCAGGTAATTTTTTACCTAATTATGCCGTTTTAGTTTTATTACCTCTTATTTTATACACTGTCATTTGCTTCTAGATATATTTATATTTATATTTCATATATTTACCAGTGAAATCCTCATTCCAATTTGATTAAGTACACTGTAAAATGACCTTTGCTGTGAGGCTGCTGTCTCTTTGCTGCAGCAGATTGTTTCTGGTAAAGATATATAGTTGATATATAGATATCCATAACTATTTAGATATATATAGTTGCTGTAGGTGTGTTTATGCTCAGAGGTCTGCAGCACATTGACTTCTCTTCTTTTCCAGGTAGCTATAGATTTCACTGCATCCAACGGTGACCCCAGGAACAGCTGCTCGCTGCACTACATCCACCCCTATCAGCCCAACGAGTACCTGAAAGCTTTGGTAGCTGTTGGGGAGATTTGCCAAGACTATGACAGGTAAATAACCACGTTTGATTACAGAGTTGTCTTTAGAAAGTGTTTTCACAGTGTGAAATTAATGACTGCCTGTGGCTGACTGCAGAGGCTCCATGTTTAGGCACTTACGAAGAATGACAGAAAGATTAGTCTACCTTAACCTGCTTTTGAGAGTGACACTGGGTTTAGATTAGTTTCATGACAAAGAAAGTCACAGTTCTTGGCTGTTTGGCTGATTTGTGTGTTAAGTTTCAGGTTTGTATTCCCATGTTAAAATTACATGTTAGGGTGGATTGTTCACGTGTTCATGTGGTCAAGATTAACAGCTTGGAGCCAGTTTTGCAGATGCTGGCAGCATCCTTTCTGCTACACTTGGGAGTCTGTGCCCTATTCTACTGAAGAGTGTTCCTGAGACATTGACTTTGAAACTGAATTTGTAGTTGCCTGAACTGCTTATTGATGATGTCTATTTTTAAAAGTAAACCTATGGTCTTTTTCAGTCTTCTCCTGGCCTGTTGAACATTGCACTCTCTTCTAAAATAAATGTTGAAAGGCAGTGTGTGTACACAACACGCCTTTAAATAAATAAACAAATGCAAGTAATTGGACCAAATATGCTTTGATTACATTATGTACTTCTGTTGCTTTCAAATAGGCTGCCTGCTTCTATCAATTCAATTGCCCATTATTAATTTAATTACCAAATGCATTTCCTATAAATGTTCTTTCTCTGGTGGTCAGACACAGTATCTCACATGGCTGTTCTTCTCATATTTGCACATATTATAGATATCCACCCACCACCTTGCCATATGTAAATACCAGATATCAAGAAAACAATTATATTTCCGGTCAAATTTGAGTTAAACTTTCTGTATAAATTGTAGAGTGACTTCACACTATGGTTTGCATGTTACTTGTTGCAAACACCAACTAGCCTGCTCAGAGGCACTTCCATTTGCATGGTAATGAAATGTCTTCTCAAAGAATGACAAAATACTCTTCTGAGTCCTGTAAGAATTTGATGGTCAGATTTAGTCAAAGAGTGTGAGAAAATTAATATTTTATTGTAAGTGAGCTGAGAATTCTCCAGTGATTATGCAGTAATTTAATAATTACTAGCAGTAATTCAGAACATTAATAAACTTTAAAAAATAGGGAAAGGACTAAAATGGGCTGGTTTATGCACACAGAATTTTTGATTTTATCACTTAAGTTGTGGGTTTTTTAGGAAAATTAAATAGTTATGTGGCACAGTCCCTTCTATAAGGAAATATTAACTCCAAATCAGGATTTTTCTCTCAATAAGTGTATTTCAATCAGTACCAAAAAAACAGTCCGTTATTTTTTAAATGAAATCATCAGCATCATTCTATTCTATTGTGCTGCAGAAAATGCCTATTGGTGCTAATCAGCACCACTGAGGGTCTATGAGCTATGATCTAGGACTGAACAAAAGCCAGTTATTTTCCCATGAAGATGTCACCTTTGGGGCACGAGTTTGACCTGTACATGTTCTCAAGCTGTGGCACTATGAATATATTCCCATGGACAAGTTGATTCAACGTGATCAGTGCTTTCTGATCCAAATGTCAAGTGAGGACCTTTTCTTTATACTTAAACATTTTGAATCCAGTAAATTGGAAAAGAGAATTTAAAATTTTTGAAAAGAAGGAAAGAAATTAGGAGGAGTAAGCCTTCACACAAAATGATCTACAGGTTCTGTATAGACCTTTTTTGTGTTGAGTTGAAGCCCTTGTATATCTGAGCAAATATAACCTACAAAGCAAACCTTCTGTATATACACTTAAAAAAATACAAATTCAGTAAAAATCTGAAACGTGGCACAGATCCATAACTGCTCCAATGAGTCCAGTTGTGCTTCAGATAATGGAGCAGGACATCTGTTTCCAGATTAAAACGAGCCAGATGTAAAAAGAAACAGACTTGCTAAACCTAAGGGCTGTTTAGAGCCAGTGTCATTGTTTGCTTGGGGGCATGTATTTATAAGATTAGAACATGAGATCACACAATAGTAGTGCTCTTAGGTGAAGTTTTATAGTTGGTACCCATCAATTATCTCAAATAGGCAGAACTGGCTGACTTCAATCCAAACCAAGAAAAATAGAGTGATTTTACAATGGTCTCAGGATTAATGTATTTGCATCAAAGGAAAGAATAGATGAGTAAAGTAAAATCTGTTGTTTGCAATACTTTTTGCATTCCAATAGCAAAGGTGTAGAATTCTAAGTGCTTTTGCTACTTATATAAGCAGACTGGTTTTTTTTAATTGTAAAAATAAAAACCCATATGGTTATTAATTAAAATGTTTCCTTCATTAGAAACATTCAAATTTATTTGTTTTTTGGGAGGAATTGGATTGGCAAGTAATACATAGAGAGACTACGCTCAAAATGCAAAATTTTCTTTTATAAGCTCTAGCTAGTTCGATCAATCAAGCCAAATCTTCTCATAATCTAGGTTTCTGTACACACCAGCTTAACATAATGCATCTTTAAGCAATTAATGCTCCAAATTAAGTGTTGCCTCACATCTCTAGGTACAGTGGAATAAACCCTGCTCATCCAAGAGCACTTTTATCCATATGGTTCAGAGATTCCTGAAACAGTTAAATGAGTGGTGTCGTTTTGCATAGTTAAGTGTGAAAGAATAAGATTCATTATTTTATCAGCAATATTCAGAGAATGAGAGACACTGCTTATTATCCTGATTGTAGAATTGCTGCAGTCCTGTAGGAATAAGCCAACCTGATAATGATAAGGGAAATAGAAGAGCTATTCACCTGCACAAAATACTTAATACTTTATCTATATGGTAACATTGTTTCAGGCTATAACAACATTTTTCATAAGAGTGAAGATAGAGTGTGCAAGTGATATAACCAGTGGCTAAGCAACAGCAGCACTGGATCATAAAGGAAGGAGAAATATTCATTAGTTTTAAGGAATTAGGTTCTAAAATGCAGTTAGAAGTACTGGAAAGGGAAAAACACATTAAAAACTTGAAAATAAGCAGACAGCTTCATGGAGAAGAATTTATTTTAAGACAAATGACTCATGAATGTTTAAAAACAACCTCATGAAGTAATAAGTGAGAAATACGTATTTCTGTTTAAATTGTTTAAATATTTTCAGAAGCTTTCTTTTCTATTAAAAGCTACCTCACTGGTACAATTTTACCTTGAAATTGTGCAACTCCAGTCCACCTTTTTACAGAAACAGGGAAAAATTATGAAAAATCATTGAGCTCGGATGTGCTTAATATTAAAAGACCTGCTTCTGTATCATTTCATGTTTATTGTTTTACCTCAGTAATTTCTGTATTGAGTTCTCTGTATCAAAAGTCAAATAAAATGGTTTCTGGTGACCAGCAATACCAGCCTAGCCAGGATCTTGAAAAATCAATTCCTCAATACTATATATATGTATATTCCTTCTACCTGTTTTGCACAATGAGTTAGCAAGTTTACTTAAGGCAGTAGGATTAAACCCAACTCTCTGTGCTGGCTTAGGGCTTCTAACCTTCAACACCTCTGGTAGAACAATGGTTTTGGCCATCCCTTTGTTTTGGAGCCTGGTGGAGACCCCTTCAAGAGAATGCTGTTTTCAAAGGGTAGGTGGCAGGTGTCTTTGCTGGTTGAACGCCCAGATATGGGGAAAGGCAAACTCATTCAACAATTGAAATAAAGGATCTGTGACTAAAATCTTACAAAAGACATGAAGCTCTCTTAAGTTATATAAAAATTTTGAATGTGTCTTTTTCTGCATGGCAGCTCTTCCCCAAAGCTTTTCAATTTGTGTCATAAAACTGCACCCTGCTTGGCATGGAACAACAACACCATTTTGGAAGCCAGAAAAGCCTATGGCTAAACTGGGGAATCAGGGAACATTTGCTTTTCCCTTTTGTCCCAGCATAATGTCTGGCCATGTCCTGATTGCAAGTCAGAACCTGAGCTACCTCTTTGTATATAGAACTAGAGGTCTACTCATGTGTATATTAATATATAGGTATGCACATAACTTAGAGGTATTAAATATACTTACGTGTGTAGAATATTTAGTATTTAGTGTTAATACAAAGCCATTCAGTAAAAAAAAAAAAAAAATATTATTTGTGCTGTTTATAACTTCCCTCTGTGCAGAGCAAAGCCATAAGCCACAACAACAACAGTGCTCACAGTTTATTAAAATGGCTGGTGCTTTGATCTTAATGATTTGTTTTACCGGTGCTGGAATACAAGCAATAGCCATGAGTGTAGCTCATCTTTCATTCTGCAGTGATTGCTGTTTCCAGCAAAGGAAAAATGGGCTGGAATGGAACTGTAAATAGCTTGTTTGCAAGGATAAATGCTTTCCTTGTACACAATGCTAAAGGCTGAAATACTTCCTAAATGATCTTACATTATGGCAGGTTTTAATGATGTTATTGTGGGTGAAGCCCATGGCAGGTCTTGCAAATCTGCTCCTCACTTTGAAATCTGATTTCCACAGTTAGTAGTTTTTCTTTTGGTTATGCTTATTAAGAATCTTATTAAATTACATTAAATATTTATCTTTTATTAAAACTTCTGTTCTGAATCAGCAAGACATTCAAGCTTATTGTCTAATCCCATTGAATTCAGTCTGACTGAAGCAAATCCTGAGGTATTATGCAAAGTATAGACGGCACTAAAATGGAATTAAGAGTTTTACTGAATTTGAACTTTATTATTAATTGTTTGCCCCACACAGAAATGTCTACTGCCTCCCATTTACCTTGCTGATTTTATTTTATTTTTTGCTACACCTAGTTTTATGTTTGTTCATACATTCAGATTCTTAATTGGATTAATAAAAAGCATTCACAAACAAGCAGGAGAATCAGGTTTTGTGTGGTCAAATCAATATTCATTCATTGAAAAAGACAAGATTAGATGTACTTTATCAAATGCTTTTACTGCATTATCAAATGCAAAAGCATTTACTGCATTGGATATTTTTTGGAACTTCCTATTCTTGATG